TTTTTTTTTTTTTGCGGTTGTTTTTTTTGTATTGTACTACATCTACACTGTACTGGCAATTAATAAGCTACTCGGTGAATATCAGCCAATAACTTAGAATTCTGTGGCCACCAGTGGCCGCAGAAGAGAACAAAAGAAGGTTTTTAAGGTAGGCTGGACTCCTCAGAACTGTCTCCCACCCCCACCACCTCTCCCTCCCACCCCTTCTCCTCTCCCGTACTGTCTTTTTTCCCCTCCCCATCTCTTCACTCCCTCCTCCCATTTTATACCTGCTATGGAGGCTAAGAGATGGGTGGCATCTAAATAGACTGTTTGTAGAGAAACATTTTGACAAATTTACCCAGAAACATTTTAAGACGGGGTTTGATCCAAAGAATGATCAGAGCTTGAAAAAAACTTGTCAAAATTCCAAACTCTGCTAAGCGACTTGCAGATAACAGCTGCAGTAAGTTATATTCCAACAAGCAGCTCTCAAATTTTGCTTGCCTTGGACAACTCTCAGTTTGCTCTTTTAATGATTAAGTTGGCAGACAACTTGCCTGATCCCTTGCCCATCAGGCAAGTGAGAGTAAAAAGTTACTTGCCCAGAACCTTGGAGAATCTACTCGTCCCGGACGACCGGACAGCACTTTATTCGAGTCCTGAATTGATCAATCAAACTCTTAAAGATTTAGTTAAGTTTGTCTGACATCTGTAAATGTACACAGTTACTGTGGATCATGTGTCAGGTCATAATCAAGGATCTTTTCTGAATGTCTCATTACACAGTCAACTATGGATGGACAGTGGAGAAGTCTGGACAGACGGTGGATAAACCTGGATGGACAGTGGACAAACCCAAAACATTCAAACCTTCATCAGCTTGAGGTAATTGGTTGTAACTCTTTTTGCCAGTTATCCTAATCAAATTTCAGACAGAGCAATGCCAGCCTGGTCAAATCTTACTCATAGCTCATTACTTTGGGAAACCTTACTACTGATTCTTATTACAATCATGTTATACTACCAAGTAAAAAAATTGACAAGAATTCAAGGCTTTCCATTCAAGTGGAGCTCTCACAATCAAGAACAATATTTATTAATATAGACATGAATGTTTTACTGGAAAATACACCTCTCGTAAAATTCATATAAATTTACATCCGAGACTGTAGTGGCATATTTTCCATTATCCTCCCTAGTGAAGATATCGATGATGTTATTTTGCACGGTTGCATTGCACGGCTGTCAAACCTTGCCAAACGCTGGTTGAAAGATGGCGAGGGATAGGGAAATACCTCTAAGGATTTAATTTACTTTTTTGCTTGGGATTTAATTTTGGGAACTCGAGACTTAAGTTTGTAAATTTTTTGGTCTCTTAAATTTAAAGACCTGAAATCTCATTTGTATTTATTTTACATCAATTTGCATAAATTTTAGAATTTTATTGAACTTTGCAGTCTTTATATGGGCCATCCAGACTTATCTTTTTACTGCCTTTAAAGGGAGGGTTTCACAGTTGGGCGCATGTCTCTAAATCAATATACTTTTGTTCACTTCTTATCAGTGTTATTGCTTTAAAAACCCCACTGAGATGTAGTTCAGTAATCACACGCTATAGTTAGTCATGGCAGAATCAGATGACCAAAATTTTCAGAAGATTTCAGTGGATTTTAGCGATGTTGTTGACCGTTGAATTTAGTGGACATTGACCCATAAGATTTATTCTATGGTTCATAATTTTACAGCCATTTGCATGAAACATTAGGTACCTTCAATCATGGACAAAAGAAAAAGAGCTGTTTCGTTGAACGGGTGAGTTTTTCAATCTCCAATTTTCACATTTTGACCCCCTCTCCCCTTTTCAATGTTGTAGCCACGTGACAATGTCCATAGAGCATATTTTAACATTGAAAAGGGGGAGAGGGGGGTTTGGCTGTCAACAAACAAACAACAACAAACAACAATCTTTATTTCGTGCCCAGAAAAATAAATTTTATTTGCCACCAAATAAAAGCATTTACGGCTTCTACCCACGCTCCTAGCGTTACTTTAAACACAGTGGTAATTGTCAACCAAGGGTTTAAGATAATGAGGAAAGTCTGGGAGTACTGAAGGGCCGAACTAAATCGGGACGGGGTCACCAAGTACAAACTTGATTGAGCAATAATCACAAGACCATTACAAGACAATCTTGTGACTTTGATGATAATAGTGAATTCATTGGTAATAGTCACGAGTTTCATTGGAAAATAACTTAGCCTCGCTTTAAGCGATCGGTATAAGACGTGGCATGTTTCTCAAGTTCGTCCTCTTTGTCTCCAGACCTGACACATTCAGCGAGTTCGACCCTCCTCCTCCCTTCCTCCTCCTCATTTATATTATGTATTTGTGATATAGGCACTTCTCCTTTTTTCTCGTGCCCTCACCTTTGCAAGAGCTTAACAAATAATAATTTGTTAATATTGTATTTCATATTAGTTTTAATCAATACATCGGCCATTCTGTGTGGCCAAAATTTATCCCAACAATGGCTTGTCTGGTTTCGATTTCTTTAAGCGCTCTAGCAAACAAGCTCAACTGTTGACCTAGAAAATTTGACATAGGTACAGCTTCATAGTTATAATTTTGGAAACAAGGGAAGAAAACAAAAAAGATGCTTTTTGAAATTACAGAAGGACGCTGATAGAAAGCATTTGTTTTGCTTAAATATGTCAACACTTTTGTCCATGATTGTCTGAAATTGCCTTTCAGCAAAAATAAACAGAAATTGTAGTATATATCTGTTGAAAATACTGAAATACCATAAACATTGCAATAGAAACCATCTAGTTTTAGTTTAGGTCAGGATTTGGAGGCTTAAGAGCGGTGCAGAATAGTTTTCCGCGGACTCGTTTCCAGTCTCTGCGCATTAGCGGCCGCTTTAGTGCGCTGCAATATTTAGTGGTCTCGCTAAGCACAAAGTGAGTCCACACACGTTAGAAAACAACAAATCGTGTCTGTAAGATAATACACGTCGGTGTAGATTTTGATTTGTGAAATTCGTCTAAGTGAGTTTGCTGATAACAAACCCAGTGATTAAACTCAGCAGCAGAAGTCTGGCATGACACAAGCTATCGCTGACAATGCGACAGTTCTCGTGAACAGTGGCCACCCATAAAAACCAGATTTTCTGCTTCTTTCCTTGAGAATATATCCAGAATATATGCCCTGAGGTGGCTTTGCAATGATTCACAATGGTTCACAACGGTTTACAATGGTTCACAGCGGTTCACAGCGGTTCACATACCACAAATAAAGAGTATCTTTTACGTTCTTTAATTGGGGATGTGAACCATTGTGAACCATTGAAATCTAATGTCTTGCTCCTGTGAACCATAAAAAAACAGAATTTAGGTAAAAAACAGAACATATTTTCGCCTTTCTGCATCAATGGCTCCTCGAAAACCATTTCGTGAAATAATTCTTGCCAATAATTAACCTATGTGATGTAATAATTGCACTCTACTGGTGCGCGACAGGATTTATAGTTTGCTAAACAATGATGCTGAGCACTACTGAGTAGACAAATAGAGATGATGCTGGGAACGCTTCACACTGTGTAAAACATAATACAGACACTCCCCAAAAAAGACCTGTTTCGTCGAACGGGTGAGTTTTTCATCTGCAACTGTCACATTTCGACCCCCTCTCCCCCTTTCAATGTTGTAGCCACATGACGGTGTCCACGG